ACATGCATGAAAACAATAGAACTATCATAGGAAAGGGTCATTTTGGAAGATCTAAACGTTTCCAGAAAAAGAAATGTCGCACTAACTCTAATATATTAATCCAGAAATGAAGGCTTTCTTGTTCTTGCCGTTATTTCATGTTCAGCCTCCTTACTGTGACTTTCCTCAATGTCATTCATATGATTTCTGACGCTCTCCAAGGGGACTGGGGCCATGCGTGCTGTAAAATGACGTAATGCTTTAGCAGCCCAAACGATTTCATAGCCAGTGACGTCATTTATATTTCTAGCAATTTTACCAAGTACTTCGGCAACGTACCTTGAACGAAAAGGAATAAGCAAGGTTACTACAAATAGGAGAATGCGATGTCATTTGTCATAGTTCATTATGACGTCACATCAAAACATTCTATTGTTTTAACGCTAAGGATTATGGTCGACAGAAGGGATCAGAGTGGCTGGATATCAMATAAAATGTAGATGAGCAATCATTGCTTTGTGAGAACTATAGTGAGAACTGTACAGAAAACGCAAAAGCTAAATTTGAATGAKATTATCTTGGCGTACATAAAAAAGTACGAAGTGGCTTTCATAAAAAATTACGAGGTCTACAGCTCCTATCATGAATTGTTCTGACATTTCTCTTAATATTATATACCTCATGTGGGACTCGGTGTAAACTCGCCTTGGAATAGCTAGTCGTAAAAGCTCAGGCTCGTCATCTACGTCACAGYAATTGGCACTTCCACTGGGCATGCGCTCATCTTTTGGTACGCTGCCATACATCACGCCACCTAGCTCACCTCCTCGAATACCCCCTTCCACGTACATTGCACAGTTGAGAGACCAGGCAGGGAACATTTCTCGTGGAATGTGARGAAGCATTGCCTCGGCATCAATGTACACCTGTATGTATATGGAAAGAAGCACAAGAAATGACTTTATCATACAATTATCTATGAAATACCTATATCTCTCCATTTCGTAAAGTTGTTATTTTCAGTGGAAATAACACATTTGGGGTTTCTTTATATAGTGGAAGTAAGAAAAAAGGTATTTTACCAAATGATTTGCTTTCATATACAATTATATGATAAATAGAATATTACATGTTCGCTTGGAGATACGAATTTTATCTTCTCGTGTTGGAAATCGCTCTCTTTTCAAAACTCGAAGACAATTGACAAAATCCATATCCCCACGCGCCCATGTAATATCCTCTATCACTGACTTATGTACTAGTGATATTAACGGAGTGACACTAGGAGTGTCTTGCTGACTAATTTTGAGAAAATAGGACTGATTGCCTGGCAAAATGTGTAGACTGGATGTTTGAAGTCACTTGTAGAGTGACGAAAAAGCTGTCTGATTGAGATTTTGTGTAAATGGATTAATTTTTTTTGGTTGGTTGGATGGTTGGCTGGTTGGTCAACTGACTGCTCCTTAAACCATTCAATCAATTAAACTCTAATGGATTGAAATGTCAGCAGACTGTATGAATGGCTACATGCTATACATTTGGTCATTGCACAACCTACCGCGTGCCCTCCTGGAGGAGTGAGGACTGGGACTCCCTCTTTTTTGAGCATATCAGCTAATTGCTTAACGAACTCAATCTGGTATTCCAGGTAGGATTCCTCGAGAATTTCCTGTAAACCCACAGCCATCGCTTCCAGGTCACGACCAGCTAACCCTCCATAGGTTACAAAACCCTCCGTTACAACGAGGTCTGTTCGACACCTTTATAAYAAAAATAGAAATTTAATTAACTCCTTGGCTTGTGAAGATCACAAATTGTCAAAAAAGTATAGCTGTCTTACTTTTCTGCAAGATCATCATCATTCATKGCTAGAAATCCWCCAATGTTGGTCAATCCATTCTTCTTTGCCGACATGGTACATCCATCACCATACGAGAAGATCTCCTGTGATATTTCTTTTGGTGTCTTATCCTTGTATCCAGGCTCTTTGGTCTTGATAAACCACGCGTTCTCCGCGAACCGACAAGCGTCGAAGAAGAGTGGGACATTGTGGGAGCGACAGACTTTGGATATTGCTCTGATGTTTCCCATGCTTACTGCCGAACCACCTTTAAAAAGCAGCCAGTTAGAATATATATTCATTGATAGATGTCCATAGCAATAAATTTCATATTATTTAATTCTACGAATTATCATATTAACTATGGAATTATAGACATTAAAATCTGAGAATACCGTGGAGAAATATTTCTTAGTCAATCCTCTCAAGGTCAAGGTCATCAAACTTTGACAGCGTGTACTTAAAAGATCCAATTCAAATAGTCTTTTGTAGGATGACATATATAGCCTAATTTTGAGCGACAAAACTATGAGTATCGACRGAAAAGGAACTGGAACAGACTTATGGAATCGACATTAAAAATGAATGAATAAACCTTTATTTATTATAAAGCTCAGGGTGGTCACATCAGTTGCATATGCATCTGTTATCAATGGGAAGCCTTAAAACTTATGAATGGTACTCAATTTTCGACGTGAAGTCGACAACCTTTTTTCACTCGCGTTGATATTATYRATGTCAAGTTGRCAATGAATGTCTCAACYTCAAAACTACGTAMMTTTCAAGGCAACATTACAAAGTTCGGTTACATTTTCGCAGAAATAATACGTGCGYCTGCATCTATGAAATCGTCTGTTTTCAGTACTAACCTAAGGCATTGTTTGTGATGGTTAGCAATACCATTGGAATCTGGTTTCGTTGGTCTCCTGAGAGCAAGYTCTCCAGCTTGTTGACATCCATGTTTCCTTTAAAGGGGAGACGTAAATCCCTATCCATGGCTTCAGGGGTGGGAAGGTTAAGAGCACATGCTCCAGTATCCTCCACATTTGCCCTTGTTGTATCAAAGTGGGCATTATTAGGGACAATATCTCCTTTCTTCAGAGCGCACTTGAAAAGGATTCGCTCAGCAGCCCGGCCTTGGTGTGTTGGAATCACGTGACGGTACCCATAAATCTCTTTGATGACTTCCTCAAGTTTGTGATAGCTGCTGGAGCCTGCGTATGACTCGTCYCCGCGCATGATCGCTGACCACTGTTCGCTGCTCATTGCGCCCGTCCCAGAGTCAGTGAGGAGGTCAATCATAATATTTTCTGATTTGACCAGGAATGGGTTATAAGACGCCTGCTGGAGGTACCTTTTTCTGTCCTCTTTTGTAGTGGTTCTTATCCTTTCGATGGATTTAATGCGAAATGGCTCAAAATTGTACGAAATTTGTTTCTTCATTGTTGTTCCTCATCAAAGTCAAATATCCTGTAATTTAGATCAAAATTGATTATTGAACCATGCAATACATGGATAAAAGCAAGGACAGGTTTTGCGAGGACCCAACGRGGTCTGTTCTTCTAAATAACTGTTSTTATTCAATTTWTTKTYCCAGGAAACCGTCGGATCCTCTTGAGGTTTTCTTGAGGGTAAAGGGTTTCACCTAATGCATGAGCTGAACATGACCGCGTGATTGACGAAAGTAAAACATGAGTCGTGTTGTTGGTTTTCATTCGTGTCTTTTTAAAAAGCAAGCTCTAGTTCTTCCRCACGTCGTCAATATTACAAAACAGACGTTGTCGGAAAATCTTACCGAGATTATACGAAAGAATGTTGRCATTTTGACTTCTTTAAAACCACGAGATAGACTAGTCAGAAAGCAGATACAAGAGAGCCTTAACTTTGAGGGTTTTTACTCCACTACCTTGGGTAAGCTTTGGGTAATACAACGTGTCCGTGCTCCTTTGTGCAAGTCCGTACTATAATATCACCGCAATATTCATGAAAACAAAAGGTAATACAAAAGAGATTTGGCAGCTTCCACAACGTTATTAAAATCTACCCAATGAGGAAGGAGGAATTTGCTTAAAAATGTCCTACCACAAGGACAGAAATGAAGAGGAGTTGTTATTGTTCTTTGTTGAAGGCGAAGGAAAGATGTCSGGACGGGCTTGAACTTGTGTTAAATGTAGGCTTCATGGCAAATATASTTTATTGAAAGCGCATAAAAGGAATCGTCCTATATGTGTACATGTGAAATAAAAGAAAGTTTGATTACAAAATATTTCGATGTCAAATAAATGCGCGGATTGCGTTCWCGTGAAATAGAGTTGTGCAGTTGTCAAGTCTCTTGTGTATTGCCTTTTGCTTTCATAAATTACTCTGATTCATGGTGATATGTACTATATATTAGTCAGAAAATAGAAAAGTTAAAAAAGAAAGGAAAAAAATCAGTAACTACWTTACCTTCATTTTTCACTTGCGGACGTATAGAAAGTTTTTTAGAGACGGTTCCTTTTTCAATTGAACACAGCTCAACCGGCAACGTAACGCTTCGCCAAAAGCCCAGCAAAATAAATCCGTGACTGTTTTTGATTAACCCTAGTCAGTACGACCATRGCTATGGCATTTATACTCGTGAAATCCCAACTGGGTTACCAGAAAAGCATTATTAAGGAATTTCCACTTCAGTTCGACCTGTTAAAGGCTCATGCCTGGAAAAGAATTTCGACTCTTCTCGCGCTCAGTGGGTTTATTTTGGTATAATTCATAATAGCTTGTGTTTGTTTTATATCTTCAAAACATTGTATTTCTATGAGAAAAATGACCAAGAACTTCATAAATTCGCGGGAAAATTGGTGCTTTGTTTGTGAAACACGAGATAAAGTCTTCACAGCTTGATMGTTTCAGAGGTCGTGCAAACTAACCTGATGCGTTTACAACTTCGAACATGCGAGTATTCGGTTACAATGTCGTTGTTTGGTCATTCAGGATGCACTTCTAATGTTATGTAGCTAAAACTGTCTATTGGAGACAAAAAAAAAATGGGTTTTTTGACTGTTTTTCGTGGTCAATTTGAACACCAGAATTTTCTAGCAATTGTCATTCCAATCATTCTGGTTAACAAGAGTAGTTTTGACCTTTAGCCTCTCATTTATCGGGAAAATGCTTCACTGATTAATTTTGCGTAGGTCAAAGTCTACACCCATCACGGACCCTTTGATCAAACTAATTTAAAGACTAAAAGTGTCAAAAAGCATTTCGTTACGGCAAAACGAGCTCGAATAACGGGTGCTAAAGATATAAGCGAATTATTCAAGGACAATTTAGTGAAATTATTTCAAAAATCACTGAATCATACTGAATCAATAAATTTTTGTTATGCAACATTATTGTGTTTGGTGCTGCTAATAGGTGCGACTTCGTAAAAAGAGTAATTTTGCCTCTCTTTTTTTCTGGTAAAAACGAAACAGTCTAAATAATGACGGAATCTCAATGTTACTTTAACATGAAAATAACTCAAATCGTACTTCGTTATTTACTATGTTTAAATCGGACGTCCACATTAGTGAAGTATTATAAGCAAAAATGCTTTCCAAACATACATAGCTACAATTAATAGCTAGCAGTATTCAAAGCTTTTTTACATAAATACTTACCCTTGTGGCTTTGTGTATAACCTTCCGATGCACTTTTTCAGTGACAGCAACGCTTTAATGGCAAACAAGGCAATTGTAGCAATTCGTATGTGTACAGCTGAAACCCTCAAAGCAAATATCCGCTAAGCTTGCTTTATTACAAACACGAGTTTTACTTCCCAGGGTAACATAATAAGCACGTGGAATTTGAAACAAAGGTTTTCTTAATTGCTTAAGATGGAAAATATCTGTATTGACAACACAACGCTAAGCTTACTTTATTACAAAAACGAGATTTTAATCCCAGGTTAACTATCAATACTTGATAAACAAAAGGTTTTCTTAATTGCTTAAGGTGGAAAATATCTGTACTGACACCAATTAAGACTAAGAAAATTGAAGTCAAAACATTTCAAYYGTATMCCCCAAACGCATTGTTTTTTGGTAATTTGAGCTCGATTTAACCATCAGCCGCTGGTTGGTTCATGTCTCCGCTGTGAAACCTCGATTACAGCGGTTTTCATAAACCCGTGAAACAAAGTKTACAATAAAAAACAATAGAGCCAAAAAGTGTAATAGCGATAAATACGCTACAGTGTGTATCATGGGTTAATGAAAACCACTCTAAAACTGACATCAATAAGAACAATTTATTTAGTGGCCTGCGCGAGCMATGAAAAAATTCAAATGATCWCGACTTTATAACCTCTTTCTGCGTGCATGATAYCATTMATAGCAGATTGTCTTAGCAGTAAATTTGTCTTGTAAAGGTTGTCCAGTTGAAAAATACTTTGTCAACAAAGTACTTTGTTATGTAGTGTTTTGGGTTTTCTCGTAAGGAATTTCAATTCAATTGAACTTCAAATGGTAGCATAATCAGTTTTTGAGTAATTAATTGTGAGTGTGCCTTGATTGTTGAATATATATTGTCAGAACTCTAGCAGAAACATCTCGGTCAAAAACATTTCAGCTATTGTAATCCTGAGAATATTACAAATTMATGAAAAAATTTGTAGATCTGATCTTAAGAAATGTCTATATTCTTCAATATAATGTCTTACAAGCATAACAAGGTTGGAGTAATAATTTGGCAAGGATAATTTTGCTACAAATGCGCAAACAAGAAAACATTGTGAATTGCTGAAAATAAAGTTTCAGAAATGTTGATTATGTTGTTTTAATTCTTTAAATAAGAATAATAAAAGAGAAATCTGCTATTTTATGGGCTGCCGGCCATTTAGGATTTCGTTTTTGTGTGACCGGCAGTCGGTTCAAGTTCGGACAATGTCTCTAAGTGCAACAAATTTCGGTGCGACTTTTAAGTAAGTTTTAACACGCTCATTTTAGTCATAGAGTTTTATTTTCGAGTTTGGAAGCTCGTTTAGATAAAAGAGAGGGAAAAACACGTTTTATGGGCTGCCGTCCATTTAGCATTTTCAAGACCTTGACCGGTAACCGGCCATTTAGACACAGCGTAATAAAAACGCGTATTGTTTCAATTGCTAATTGTTAAGACTTCTTTTCKSCATGCACAAGTAATTTGTTTGTTGACTGCTTATTATTGAATTTTCTGAAAGAGTTTTTTGTTTAGTCGCACTAACACTTCGAAACATGAAATAATAATTAGTTAATTGCTTCTAGTARTGTTTAAGAGAAATCATAGTTTTTGGAAATCCTCAAGATAAGAATATTTGCAGTAAATATTATTAAATTAAAGGTAGCTTATCATGATCGGCCCAACTCCAAGAAATGTAAATTAACCGACGCACGCGTCAAAACAATAGTCGCATCATATAGTTTCCCGCTATTTTTTATTTATCAAATAACTGCTTAGAGCAATTTCATTTAATCCGTGAAATAAAAACTAAATAGTTCTTAACAATAAGTCACTATTTTATACCAAATAGATGATGGCACTCAAGCGAATCAACTTATAGTTCAATACTCAGGAGACATATTAAATACCCAAGAATCAAATTAAGTCATTCATTACTTGATTCTTGGGTATTTAGATTATGTCTCCTGAGTATTGAACTATAAGTTGATTGCGTGCGTGCTATCGTCTATTTAGTATAAAATAGTGACTTATTGTTAAGAACTATTTAGTTTTTATTTCACGGATTAAATTAAAATGCTCTATTCAATAATTTATTCATCGTCTTTTATTTTTTTTATTTCTTATTATTTTTTGTTTAGTTATCCATAATGTTCATCTCATCTTTTATTGGTTTATAGATACACTTTTGTATTCGCATCTCAAGCCAATGTAATCCCCCGGGCATTTACACGCATGCTCCTTTGAATCCAGGATTTTAACAACAAAGCAGGTTCCGCCATTCAGGCAAAATTTTTCTGCAAATTCTGGTGAGCACTCTGAGGAAAGCAAAATAAAATCGGTAACTAAGCAAATTAGAGACTGTTATATTATAGGAAATGGCCCTCAAACAACAACAATAAGCCGACCAACCAACTAACCAACCAACCAGTCAATCAATCAATCAATCAACCAACCAACCAACCAACCAACCAACCGACCGACCGACCGACCGACCGACCGACCGACCGACCGACCGACCGACCGACCGATCGATCGACCGACCGACCGATTCAAACGATTTTACTAACTTGAAACGGCTTCTCCTTCTAAAGGGTCATTGGTCTTCTTGTGTAGTCCTAGTTTGAAAGGAAAATCAATTTGACTTCAAGAAAGGCTAAGCACGAATTCATTTACTTGTTCACCAGTTCCCTCCCACCCAAAGGGTTTAAACATTGAACACGTTAGTACGATCGGATTGCATTGTTTTCTTTTGTTTCGGGTGTAGTCCTATTACGGGCCATGAAGTCGCCTTGGCGGTGCTTTCTTTGTTCTTCGTAACATAAACAAGCTGTTTATTAGATCGATTGAAACGGATTGCGAATGGATATTCGAAGCTCACATCAATTTCCCATTGTCCCATTTATCCCATTATTATCCCACTTTTTACTTTATGAATGGACATATTGTAATATTTGACCTTTAAACCGATCGATGGAAACAGATTTAATTGCGAATAGATATTCGAAGCTCACATCAATGGCAATAAATGAAAATCTAAAACACGACCGCATAGAATGTTAATGGACCATTTTCCTTTAAGATCCACCGTCAGTTGCGGGGACGGTAACGTCCTGTCCCGAAGTAAGCATACGAGTTTAATTAATTAAGCTAATAAATAACTGGATTATTAACTCAATTAGGTACCTTTTGAAGCGAGCGTCACAGCTGCAAGAGCAAAGATGATCAATAGCTTCATTATTCCAAATAAAATCCCGTTCGTCTTACTTCAAGCACAGCATTCAGTGACTGAATGAAACTTATAGATTTCTTTGGTTTCTTTATTGTAAAACCACTCACGTGTTGTTAATAATATTTATGGTAAAATCATGATTTTGAAGAGATTGTCAGAGAAAATAGCCAGTTGAAATGGTGGTTGAAATGGTGCAACTGGTGCTCAGTGAATTACATGTAATATTAAATACAAATTCACCAAAAATAAAGTCCTTACGAGACACGAGACTTAAATACACTACACCCTTAGAGGGTTAT